CATATCATGGATTTAGATCAGGGCCATTTTGAATGAAACCTTTTGGTTTAATCAAGTTTTTAAATCCAGAAGTGAACTGATCATAAAAAAAAAATCAAGTGAACTTGTAAAATGAATGAACTAGTAACAAGATAAAAAAACACATACAAGGCGATCTCACTATCATTAGAGACTTTTATTTGAAGAGAACATTATTTTTGGAAGAGATTTTGGGGGACTGCCTCTCACATTATTCCTTTCCAATGACTTACACAGTACAAACAGACCTCTGCAGAACAGCATTGGGTCTTATCTCTTCATAGAAATAGCTTAAAAGATTCAAGTGCATCTTCTTCATAGCATTTACTGAGAATATGCTAGAAGGCAGTGACAAATGTGTGTGCAGACCACCAAGAATGCTTTGCATCAGGTCTGCTGCTGCATGGCCCATAACACTCTCCTCCTTACCATTTTGAACCATGGATCTAAACATGATGTCCAGGTCTAGGATGTCACAGGAACAATTTTTAGGGAACCTTTAGAGGTAATTACTACAACAGAATGCAAAACTTTGTATTTCAACTTTCATTCGTCTTCCAGCAAGACAAATTGTAATTAAAATTGCTTGCTTGTATGGGTTCTGTGTGTGCTTCTGTGAACGTGCATCTGCATTGCTGCAGAAAGTGGGCCAGATTTATCCAGAGAAGGTTTATTTTTCTGATAAAATGGACTGATGGATGTGTGAAAGACAGTTTGGTCAAGAGAAGCTATTACTGATAAAACGTAGTAGTAAAGAACCGGCTGGTACATTCTCATACTACAATAATCAAAAATTGTAGGGATGTTTTTCCAAAATAGTCTACAAATTGTTTGTGGAAGGTAGTCAGGATTTCTTGCCTGCTGGAAGACTGAAACTTTATATGACAACTCATTTTTATGTTTTCTTCATTTCTCCAAATTATGTGCTGCAGAAATGCAATTAAAATAGTTGAAATGCCAGGTTCTGTAGTTGCGTAAACTGAAAATTTCACCTGAATTAACAGCAGGAGGGAATCCGAAAGAGTATTGCTCCCACTTTGCTTCTGTTATTCTTTAATCTGCAGGTAATTGCAGAGTACATCTTCTGTGTAATTAAGGATGTATCATTAGGCAAACTAAATTTATCTTGCGACATTTAATAACCTTTATGAATGCATCTCATCAAGTTCCTATATGCCTCTGGGTATTCTAATATAACCTAGCTGCTAAAGTTCTTGAAACTTCCTTTGGGATACTGGAATTACTGGTACAAAAGTCTTGGCCAACCTTCACAGGTTATACTTACATATATGATTGCTTAAAAAAAAAGAAGTACTCAAGCAAAACACACGATTAAACATCTTTTATTAGTAAAAGAACTTTGGCTAAGATATAGGTGCTCTGAAAAGAGATGTCTTTCCTTGAATAGCTACAGCTATTACTGCTCAATAGAAAGCATACTTACTTTCTTCTGGAAAGGACAGCATACAAAGTTCATTTTCATACTGTGCGCATTTAAGTCAGTATCATGTTTTGTGACAGATAAGCTCTGTGAAACTGCATGGTAAACTATGACAAAGAAATTCTGTCAAAAAACATACAGGATTTGACCGAATTAATTATATACACATGCAAGAATTAACTGTCCAATAATTTCTATATTTTACCTATGAAAGCTTTCTGCAGTATAATACAGTGAGAACATAGAATTACCAAAACCAAACAAAATTTTCTTCTCAGTTTTTAAACAAAATTAACCAGAATTTCTGAAATCTCTGAAATTCACATCCCATAGAACTCAGCATTTCCTTTTCTGTAACAAGAGAAAGAACATTCATAAGCTCTCAGCATATTTCACATATTCCATCCTGTTGTACATAAAGCTGAAGTTAAAGTTGCACAGACAAAAACAGCTAACCTTTTACTCAAGAAAATTATTTTGCAGCATAGAACAAGAGCAAAATTAAGAGATCAGTACACATTCTTCTGTAAACGTTGATACAGTTATACACAACTGTAGTTACACATTCCTTGAATTTAAGGACGTATTTCACATCATTCTGAGATAAAAACAAGTCAGCAGAATTACTCTGATCATAGATCAGACAATTGTATCAGAGATCATAGAAATGATCTATTTTTCCTTTTACAAAATTACTTTCCTATAACCACACACATAATTGCATATATTCGAATCAAAATATGTACCATATAATAATAAAGGGAAAATGAGAGCATTTTTATTCTCAAGGATTTCAACTTTACTTTGTAACAGATGAAGTTAGGCAGGTAAGGCATCTTTAACATTACTAAACATGAAAGTTTATATACAGGTGTTTGTCATAATAAAAGCTGAAAATATCTTTACATACGCATTTTTGACTGCTAGTACATATTGCCTACAGTTGTTGTTGTCAATCTATGTTGCAAAAAGAACAAATACAAATTGTGCATGTTATTGTTGTGGCATAGATGTATGTGCCTGTATAGTATCTTTTCTTCTTTTATTCATTTAAACCAAGAATACACATTACTGTGTATTATTGCAGAAAAAAGTGATCAAGAAAATTCAGTAAAAGTGTAATAATAGCAGTTAGTGGTAGTAATCTGACTGTTCTAGTACATTATTTGTTGCAACTTCTATGCTCAAATGGGCAATAAATAACTTCCTGTCTCACTCTGAGATCAGACTTTTTTTCTTTTTTTTTTTTTTTTTTTCACCCAGCGAAGAATACGCCTGTTTAAGCCATGAGCTGCCAACTTCTCCAGGAGAAGACAGTGGGAGATTTCCCTAATTCAGGAACTGAATACTAAACTGTTTCTCTCAATACTTTATTACTAAAAGAATTTTTGCCTTTTCATAAAAGGCTGCGCACAACAGCAAAAATAACATGGGGATGAGAGATTAAATTGCAGTAGCCAGATATTTTTTACCCAATGCTTGTCCCTTTAGTGCTTGTTTTAACAAGTATCCACAAAGATATATATTAAAAGTAATGTGTGCTTATTAATTAACAATAAACTATTTAACCCTCTAAATTAGGCATCATTAGATCATCCACTTCACCATCCCTTCCCCAAGGAACTTGATGAGCGAGTATTCACCAGAACAGCTATGAGCAAAGGTCAAATCACAGTGTCATGATGAAAACAGAGGAAGCCTCAAACTTCCCAGGGAAATTTGTAAACATAACAGTCCAAAAAGCTTAGATAAGTTGAGGGTCAAGTAATGCACCAGCTGACACCTGGGTTTAAAGGGGGGTGGGTGGGTTTTCCTAGATTCTCCCTAAGCAGGATGTTGGCTGAGAGCCCAGTCTGTCATCCCCAGCTAAACAGCAGCACGGACTCCATTGCCAGAGTGACGCCAGCTGGGTCAGTTATCACCCCTAGGAGCCTGACAGCTTCTCTCCACTTCTCCTCAGGGCCATGTCTGTGAGTAGTGACAGAATTTTTACTAGACTTTTTTTTTTTTTTTTAATATCAATTAACAATGGCCAGGACTTCAGGGCAGTAAATACTGTATAAACATGGCAGGAAGGAGAGGAAGAAGAAATAATTAAGTGTAAGCTTGGGTAGCACATTCCTTCAGAGCCCAATTCTTGAATTCATGACATATATTTTAAAATTATCATCTAAAACATTAAAGGTACTGGTTCTTCCCTCAGATATATTACTTTGACTATTACAGTGGTGTAAATCACTATCAGAGGCAGAAATTTGAGCTTTGGACAAAGCCTAATTCAACACCATACTGGGAAAGTCAACATCTGGCAAAATTATATTAAGTTTGCTTTGAAGAAAACAATCCAAAATATATCATGTAAACATATCAGAAAACTCTAGGCAAAAGCTTGATTCCCACAGATTTCTGAAGTACCTTAGCAGCATTTTTTTTCACGTTTCCATATAATTCTTCAGATTCTTTAGAAATTCTGAAGATTATTTTTAACATCACAAGGATACAAAGGACATAGATATGTCCAAATATACATATACTTGGGCTACTATCATGTTTTTGAAACCCCTTTTCGGTCTTTCAAATAAAAGGGGGAGGAGCAAGAACTGCTATTAATAAAGCAAGAAATAAAAACTAAAAGATTGCAGAGTTTTGGAATACAAAACCACTTGGATTAGTATCAACAGCAGAAGGAAGATACAGGCTTTTTTTTTTTTTAAGCAGCACAATAAGGGTTCTATAAAAATTTGAAGATTTTGCATAACAGTAGAATTGTTAACAGAGAATTGTTAACAATGCTAAACTGACCTAAACAACCCAAATAAAATGTTCTCCCAAGGCGTTGGGTGACAAAGTGCATTTTGAATCTTATTGGAAATAGTTATCAACTTTGAAAAAAAAAGCGATTAAAACAACCTATTATTTGGTTAAGATACCTCTAAGGCTGTCCGTGTGGCATTAATTCTAATCTATAAAGTGTCCATGTCTGCATCAGAGTGCAAAGAGCAGGAATAACAAGTAGTCAGTCACGTAAGAGCGACTTTGTTCATCTTCTCTGTGTTAGGATCTCACAGAAATATGGTAGGGAGTAGAGGAGGGATTCGGAAGGCAAAACAAATCAACCTCCTTTGAGGCAAAAGAGCACACAAGACACCATCCAAAACGTGTTAATAACAATCACTGGCCTCATGGCACCATCCTCAGAACAGTGTGTCTGGAGCAGATGAAAAAACAGAAGGCTCTAGGGGCAGAAAAGAAAGGAACAGAAGTCCTGTACAGTATGGTAGCTTCCATGATGTGAATCCAGATACACTAGCTAATGCGTTTATCACTGTGCTCCAGAGGTAGAAAAACACTTCCGTTCCTATCACTGTGCCCAACAGATTTGGGGTTTTCTTTTTGTTTGTTTGTTTTAAGAGGAAAAAAAATAATTGTAGCACTGATCCAGTAATAATAGTCATGCTGATGATTGGAGATTATTAGCTGGCTTATTCTTGTACAGGGTTAGCTGTTGCAGAAAGTAAACATCTCAAAAATACTGTTACCACCAGAGAGATATCATATTTCCAGCACAGCTCAATACACAAATGGAATCAAAATTTTTCTCGACTTCGGGTAGTCTTCAAATTTCTCAAGATACCATCTGAAAGACAAAGAGAGAAATCCCACTAGTATTGCACCTTCAAAATGTCATCAAGGAAATTAAAAGGAGTAATTGTACAATGCTATCTTTGGCTCTAAACCAAGAAAAAAGTCTTTAGAACCTACTCTGGGTAGGTTCACTCACGCTGAGGAAATCTGTTCTCCATTAAAGCTACTGCTGCCAGCAATGGGAAATCATAATAATGTAAATATAGTGTAAATACAACGTAAACGTAAAATAATAAATGTTGAGAGAGCAATCAGGGAAGCAATGGCCTGCTGTGTACTGTAATATATCCTATTTTAGAAGCAGAAGGAAAAAAAAATGCCAGGAGGATAGCGTGCAGTGAATTTTATAGCAACTACATATGGCAGCAAGAGATTCTTTACATGCTGGAGCAACAGCCCTGTTCTGGATTGGAATAAACCCATTTCCAGTCAGGATATGCATAATCTAGTCAGCCACCAGACTAGTCCTATTGCTACTGGGAGACCTTTACTCTTTTCAAACCCAGACTGTTTCAAAAGAACACATTTATAGCACTACCAATTGTAACTTCTTTTCTGATCATCTTACTTGACAAAGACTTTTCCTGCCACCTTCAAGTATTTCCTGTTCTTCTAGCATGGAAAACAGGAACTACTTTCACCTCAGCTCTACTAAGATGCAGGTATTCTTATTGACAGTCATACTGACAGCTGGATAAGCACAGAAGAAACAACAGCTGACCATTAACCTGAAGTGCTGCTTTTGGGGTTCTGCAGATTTTCACTTTCAATGTAGAGTAAGCGCTCATGCCCTATCTGAATGGTAATATGTGCAAGGAAAGCCCTGTGGATCCCTCCATAGCAGCATGCACTGAATGACTGGCTGCAACTGTGCGATACCAACATTACATTAGTTAGTTTCTTCTGCATTTATTCCAAGTTTTCTAAACTGAACAGCCAAAACCAAAACACATCACTTACATAGATTTGACTGTCTTTAATTCAGTACTGAATGCCTGCAGTTACTGCAGTTATGAAGGGGAACTGCATACCAAGCTACTTTTAGAAGTACAGAGTCACCACGTCAAGGAAAGTGTTTATTCTCTACTATTCAGCAGTTAAGAGGCTCTGTCAAGAATACAGTGTCCTGTTTAGGGCTCCTCGTCCAACAGAAACGTACACGAACTAGAGAAGAGTCCAGCAGACAGCTACTAAGGTGGTTAGGTAGCTGGACAAATATGAAGAAAGGCTGAGTGAAATGGGTTTGTTCAGCCTGGAGAAGAGAAGGTTAAGGTGGAACCTAATTGCAGTCTTTTAGTACCGACAAGTAAATTAGAGAGAAGAACAGAGGCAGACTCTTCTTGGAGGCACACAAGAAATGTGTGCCTCTACAAGTGGCAGAGGCTACAAGCTGCATCAAGGAAAATTCCAGCTGGACATAAGGACAGAATTCTTCCTCTTGCGAATGGGAAAGCACTGGATGAGGCTGCTCAGAGAAGAGTTGAGACCTCCATCCTGAGATACACTCAAAATTCAACTGGATGAGCCACGAACAAGCTGGCCTGGCCTTAAAGGTAGCCCTGGCTGACAAACGGATTGGACGACCTTGAGGTCTCCCTTCCAAACTAGACTGCTCTGTGCCTCAGCTCACTAGTGGCAGAAGATAAAACAAGGGGAAATGGTCACACGTGACAGCTTGGAAGGCTCAGGTTGGGTATTAGGAAAAAATCTTTCATGGACAGGGCAATGGAGAACAAGACCACTCCAGGAACATGGTGAAGGAAAATCTCCATCTCCAGAGGCTCTTTTCAAAATTCTGTTAGACAAAGCCACGGCTGATCTGATTCACTTTTTCTGTTTCCTCATACTATTTCCAGTCAATTTCCTCCTTGAATTGAGGTTTATTTCTCATGCAATTGAGTTGCATAGTGAGAAGCAAAGCAGGAAGTTGAAAATAACAAAAATGATTAACACTTAAATTGTACGATTAAGGTATTCAAATCATTTTAAATCTGTTATTCCTTAAAGAGCATTCTTCCAAGAAACAAGTTTTCCCTCAAACTTGATTCTTCTGTTAAGAGAAGAAAAGTCAGCATGTGATTACAGTCCATTATCAGTCTGATGGATTATTTACTGAATAGGGACTATTAAATACTGTATATTAAGCAATATAATTGTTGACATTTACACTACACTATACACTTGATAGATTATACACTATCCATATTACATCCATATTATAAACCATAATGGAAGCCCATAGGATGATTTTCCTTTTTTTTTTTCAATATTGTAGAAAAAGAGGACTATACTATATCTGAAGGAAAGACAATTTTCCTAAACGAGTCTATAATCTTTTTAGGCCATGTTTAATGAAATGTCATTATTTTGACCTCACTGTACATTGTGTACTCCTTCTCCTTATCCCTAATACTACTGTGGCGGAATCTTGCTCAGTTTAATACTACTCAGAGAGTATTCTGTGTTACTCAAGACTGCAGTAGCCAAGCCTTTCGCAAGACTTGTTCTGTAACATCCCTACAGGTTAAGGCATAATTTATAAAATGGAAATAAAGTGTGACATAAAGACAACAGAAATTTTAAGATACAAATACTTACTGGTGGTGTTGTCTTGCCCGTGAACCCAAGATGAAAAGGCTGCACAATGCAAACGCAAGACTTTGAATGGTGCAGCAGGCAAGGGCAAACCCAAACCATTCCACGACCTCTCCAAAAAAGTTTGCTCCGCTGACATATTCGAACATTCCTCCTAAAAAGCAGGACAAATTTATTCTAATAGCACCGTAATCAAGGAGAGCTTCAATAATCTCTCTCACAGGTAGCACAGTAATCCATTTTTCAGTTAATATAATTTTTAAAGGCAGGGAAAGCAGGATTTTTCAGTTTAATTTCAAAGATTACTTCTGATCTCATTCTAGAACACAGATCTTTTCCAGCTCCAATTTTCCTCTTTAATCATGACAGAGAAAAGCAGATTTATTACTACCAGAAGCAATTTCATGCCTTTATAGATAATTACTTTACAATAATACTGAACTGGCTCTTTGATCATGAACTCAAACTTTTTAAAATGTAAAGTACACCTGGCATTAGTTAGGATATAGTGTTTAGTTTTTTTATTCTATTGAAGTACTTCAGAAATTAAGTTAATGATAAGCACAATATTATTATTATGAAGTGGCCATACATTTTTTACTCAGGCAAATTTATTCCCTGGTGTAAGATGGGGTTTTTTTGTGGTTTCTTTTTGTTTGTTTGTTTGTTTGTTTTTTTAAGATGCATCTTTTGTTCTTATCTCTAGCTAGGTCTAAGGAAAGCTTATCTTAACTGCTTCAATCTTGCCATTCAGTGAAATAAGTGAATAACACTGGTTGTATATTTCTAAAACAATTACGCACAAACAGTATTTATATCTATTAAAGATACAAACCAAACTTGGAGAAATTGCAGAATTCAGAAGTAACTTATTTCCTACTCTCTGAGAGTGTAAAATGCCTGGAATGCCCTAATGCTTCCAAGAATGTCAATAAACCTTCACCATTCATTAACTTTCATAAGAAGCCCTTCCATATTCTGTACTGTCCCATGAGGAACAAAACTACCCAAGTCTAACCCTCTTTGGATTTCTGTCCTATTTCCTCACCACAGTATTCCTTGCTTGTTCTGATTCCTTGAGATCCATCCCTCTGCAGATATGGAACAACTGCTGTGGTGCATACAACTGATTAAGTATCTGAGCACCTTTTGCCCTTCCCCACAGTGGGATACTAATTTATGTCTCTATTTTCTTCCCTCTACCCACCTGCTGACTCTCCAGAACATTGTGGAACGCTGTGGAAGGCTGTGTTAGGTTTGTACTACTTTTTAAAATAGGATCAAAATCGGCCAGGAAATTCAAAGGTTTGTGCAGACCACATGATGCATGCAACTGTCTCTTTACAATACTTGGCTTAAGAGAAAAATGTTTCCCAAACTGTGAAATTACTTCTTAATATAGACTACTTCTACATTAAGACACTTCTAATCTAAGCCTATGCTACTGCATCATCCCAAAAATATACAAAGCTTTAGAAGGTGTTCTATTAATATATGTTTCTGTAATATTTTTTACTCACCTTTTGGTATTTTATAACCAGTTTCCCCTGGTTTCCTCAGATTTCTGAGAATATGATCAGAATGAATATTGATTGCCATGCCAATCACCCACCCTAGAAAACCTGAAGAAAAATATTTAAAATAGTAACTTCGATACACTGAGTTGAAGGGCTTGATCAGAAAACAACCTGCAATCAGATATTTTATATTACATATTAGGCAACATATCATCTCAAAGCTGTATTAATACAAGCAGTATAAGCAATTGTAATGACATTATGCACAATCATAATCCCACACTGAGCCCTTCTGACAGGAGACTCATAGCAATTAACAGGTCTCTCGATAGGAACAGTGCTGTATGAAGTTTTATTCTTATGTTGCTATGTTTCTATAAAAGGTTTGCATACACCTCTCCCTTCTGTGCAGAAAATTGAATACAATGTTTTAAACAAAACTGAAGGAATCAGCTGTTCTGATTCCTAACGAAAGAGTATATTTAATTTCTCCTTTTCAATATGCTAGAGTTTTCACAGCAGACAACTTTTGCCCAACAAAGGGAACAATGAGATATGCAGTGGGTCCAGATGCAGGACTAGTGCAGAAAACATAAGCAAGGGCTTCCAGGAGTTAGGCTTAGGCTTGCCGAGTACTGTGGGTACTGAGCTTGCCTCACATGCCTTTAATAATGTTCCACAAGGAGAGAAGAAAAAGGTTTCACTTTTCCAAGATGGTAGATGAGTTCCTGTCTTACTGCCTCAACTTCAACTAAGTGCTATTCCCTTTTCTGTAGCCTAAACCCAATCTACAAAACCTGTGGCAGAAACTGAATGCTAAGCATTTTACACTCCTGAGGTAAACCAAAGGATTGCCAAATCTGTCCAGAGTTGTAAATGTACAGATCTGTCAACCTGAAAAATACAGGATCAACGTGAACACTGCTCATATTATGTAATCCACAGAACAATTTATGTCACTTTTTGCTTCTCAGCTGCGATCCCATTTCTACTGGGTAGAAGTAAAATACTGAACCAGGAGAATGTATGCTTAGGTTGACATTCTTTTGAAGAGTATGAAATTAGTTTCTGCTCACATTTGGCTTCCTTCGAGTAAGTGTTTGGTGACATTAGCAACAAGAAGTTGGAGGTACACAATAAATATCACCTTGACTGTGAAGTAATCTTAAAACAGCACTAAATTGTGCAAGAACTGAACCACCTGGATGCAACCTAATTGTACAAACTGGTGGATGAGTAGGGTCTCATGAAGTCTTATAACCACCACTACCCGGAAAAAGAATGTGAAGTAGAGCAATGAAAATGAGAATTTTAAAAGGGAAGCATGTTCTCACCAGCAGCCTGGGGGGTGGTCGTCAGCCTACCGCTTGTTTTTAAGGAAACCCCAGCTGCAACAACATTCTGTACTAGCCATGATCACAGGAACTAAAACTTCTCTTCTAAATCATTTAGTCGTCAAAACAACCAGTCTAATAAATTTATCCGCACAAGACCTCCAAGTGGACCAAATACTGCACTAATTCAGTGATTTCAGACACTTCACATAGGCGCTGGAATCTACAGTGCAAGATCAGGGATCTTTTTTTTTGCTTACTCTCTTGGTATTTTCTTTTGCATATGCTACTCCTAATTCCCAAGATCCATCCTAAAATTTAATAATTGGGAAAAAAAAAAAAGTGAAATTACTGGAACTACTGGGTGACAGAAACTGCAGTAGAAACTTCTGTCCTCAAGAACATGCCACTGCTATCAAATCTAAGAATGAACTAAATTGCAGCTTTACAGCCTAGTTCAGAAAGGTCTTTAGGAAGAGTACACTGATTGGGATATTTGTGAACAAGATGTATGATATTAAGGCACATATATTAAGGAATTCTAGCTCAACAGATCTATGCAAACTAGTTAGAAATCTTTCTGACTAGCTCTGTGTTTACACCTTGGCTGCATGCTGCTTTGAGGGGAAAATGAAAGAGGTAAAATGCTATCCTGAGCTACAAAAGAAATAAGATCCTAACAGATCTTTCCACACTGTACCTGAACAAAGAGGTGGGAAAACTTTATTTTTACCATTTGTTGTGTGTGTGAGGCACTTCACTAGTAACAGAGAAGCAGGAATATATTTTATTGATGACAGATAGTGACTTCGCTTTGCTTTCCAAACTCCTTCCGAAAGGAGTCTGGGTACAGCTGACCCCAATTCTCATCCCACACTTGGTCAACAGTTTATGTCTAAAAGATTTAATGTGCACAGAGTTAAAACTCAGCAGAGTTTCCCAAAGGTTTGTAAAATTATAGCCTAGTATTAAACACTTACCAAGGATCTGCAGGACATAAGGAATCTCTCAACCTCAAGGAGTAACCTTGAGATGCAACTCTGCCTAAGAGGAGATTCTGCAGTGCAGCCTGATGCCATGCAGGAAAACTCTAAGTGCTCTGTGTTGAACACTATTTATGTGGGAGGAGAGAAAATGATGATTGACTTGATCATCATTCACATGCTCAAAAGGTCTTAGCTGGCACATACCCCTGTAGCCCCTATCTATGCGGGGTTTACAGGGAGGTCAGGTAGAGGGTGAAAGGAGAAGGGTAGGAACACACCAGCACAGTGACTTCTGGACACCATGGGCCTCGTGTCTACAATCAAAGGGAAAGATGGGGAGGCTGCTTCTGCTCCATCTCCGCTGTAGCCAGGACCAATCACCTTGTATTAATTGAGTGCAAACTGGGAACCACTGCTCCTGATATCACTGGGAATGTCACTTAGGGGCACTGGTCCCTCTGGTTCAAAAATATTACACTTCAATACCAGTGTTTTCTACTGGTATCAACAATTTTTTTAAAAAGGAAGCAAAATGCAACAAAAGAGAAGCGAGGGGAGATCTTATCAATGTGTACATAACTATCTGAAGGGAGGGTGTAAAGGCCATTGGGCCAGACTCTTCTCAGTAGAGCCCAGTAACAGGATGAAAAGCAACAGGCACAAAGTGAAACTCGGGAAATTCTGTCTGAACATAAGGAACAACCTCTTTAATGTGAAGGTGACTGCGCACTGCAGCAGCTTGCTTAGAGATGTGGTAAACTGTCCAACCCTAGGAGATATTCAAAAACCACCTGGACCCATCCTGGACAACCAGCTCTAAGTGACCCAACTTGAGCAGGGCAGTTGAATTAGATCTCCCAAGGTCCCTTCCAGCTCAGCCATTCTGCAATTCTTGTTACACTGCACTGTTCTTCAACTATGTCAGTGGTGATATACTCACATAGTTTAATATTAAAAAAAAACTTTTAAAAAACAAACAAACAAAAAAACACACTTTTAAAGATCTCTTAGGTGTTAACCACTAGTGGCCAGACTGTTCAGGAATAGATTTATCCAATTAAA